TATGCACAAATAATTAAAAACACATAAACAGTACCAACGTCATACTTTGATGATATTTAGAAATTATACTGGTTACAAAATCAAAAGAAGGATAAATTAAATTAAATTTGATGTAAATTTTGAGAAAACCAAATCATTAAGGGATTAAAGTAAATGTTGCTTTTTTAGACCTAGTGATCCATTGGACAGATACATTGGAGTTAATATATTTCTTGACCTCGGTTTATGAAGGATATTGTTATCAGCACTATGCCCAGCAGCATTTACTTTCTCTAATGTAAGTTAAGTACCTATCAGAGCTGGGTGGTCTCAATGACATTCTACTGACTTCAACCTGGATTCGACTCGCGATTTTCGGGTTAACAGTCTAGCGCTCTACTTCTAGGAAACGCTGCCTTATATTATGGGATAAGAGGATATTAATTTCAACACTATTTTTCTTTATTTCCTTGACAACCAGTAATGCTATTCTTGAATTTACTTCATTTTTGACAACACTAACAATATATGGATTGATTACATTTTTTTAAACATGTTGAAAAAAATATGCCTCTGTATTTATAACATCTTGAAAAAATATGCCTATGTATTGTTCTTAAACATGTTGAAAAAATATGCCTGTGTATTGTTCTTAAACATGTTGAAAAAATATGCCTGTGTATTGTTCTTAAACATGTTGAAAAAATATGCCTCTGTATTGTTCTTAAACATGTTGAAAAAATATGCCTATGTATTGTTCTTAAACATGTTGAAAAAATATGCCTGTGTATTGTTCTTAAACATGTTGAAAAAATATGCCTATGTATTGTTCTTAAACATGTTGAAAAAATATGCCTGTGTATTGTTCCCCTTATATAATAGCACGTTGATTAATAAATTATCTGTGATCAGGCTAAATAAATTGTATTTAAAAAAGTATATTTAATTTTTAAATTTAATTATTTCAGTGTCATTTCGGCTTAGTCCCCATCTACTCATGTATGGCCAAGCGTAACATGAGAGAGTTCTCTAAAACAGTAACACTCGCCATGATATTGGCTGTCGTAACATACACGGTCACTGCAGTTCTGGGATATCTACAGGTTTGGTAATATCATGTCTTAGACTAATAGTAACATTGGAAACTTTAATGTTAGGACTACTTTGTCAATGTGGACTATAAAACTATTAGAAGGGTTATGTGAATGCGCGTGTGAAACTGTTTAGGGTTCGGTACCTGCAAAAAGGTTAAGATCCACTGCTTTAGAGTGTAGTTCGGAGATACTGAAGTGTGTGTTTATTGAGTTAAAACAACTAAGATATGAGACGAAACTGAAAACCTATAACTGTTTGATTAACCTACCTGGGTATTTAAATGTCTTTATAAACTACTGAGCGCATAATAAAATCAAGATTAATTTTTTAAAATATTTACACTATTTACAGTTGGGTGACAATGTTACAAATGACATATTGCTGTCATTTAACCCAACGGCTGATGTGATGGTGGCTGTCGTTCTATATTCTGTTAAAACATATACCACCTACCCTATTTTATGCTTCTCAGGAAGGTAAGCCGTTTACTCATTTAGTTGTGTAATACATAAGATATTTGAATGACGTATGAAGCCGAAATGTTTTTTAAAAATTGAAAATTAAAATGTATATAAACAGATAAACAAGGGGTCGGCGTAGTCGAGTCGGTAAAGCTCATGGTTGCTAAACCGAAAAGTCCCGAGTTCGAAGGCTCGTTAGCTGGGGACAACCACTCTTCTAGGAGAGACAACTGCAAAATCAAAACAACTGCTGCCTTGTAGTTTGTTCTTGGTTGGGCAAAGGCTATGGAAGCAAATGCTAAACGAAAAGCAGGCTACAATCGGAGTCAATGGCCTCAATGTCGCATAACCAGTTGACACGTAATCCTTAATTGTGTTGGAGGGGGATCCCTTCTCACACTAAAATTAAGAACGAAGAAGAAATAAGCAAGCGAATTTCACAATTATACATTAAGCTTTCGTCATGTTTTGAAAATTGTATTTTCTTTATCATTGCAAGTGGAAAAAAAAATATTTTACAATTCACATAATATAGAAATGTCTTTTCGAACAACTAAAGAATATTTTTTTTATAAAAAAAAGTTAATATAATCCTTATATAATTACTCCACATACATTTTATTTGAATACTAAAAGTATACTTTCTAGCTATATGCTATGACGAAAATTCAATAGTTTGTAATTTGTTATCAAAATCTATATTATAACTTGGGGATAGTTATGTTTGAGATGTGTTCAAAGAATCACATTGTTATTGCTTTGAACGTCAAATTACATTGAATACATGAGCTGTATTATTAATTAACGTTATGTGACTATTTCCACAGAGCAGCGTTTGACACGGTGTGGTGCATGTTGTGGAAAATGAGCCCGGAAGAAATTTTGTACAGAGAAAAGATGAGACGCGTCATAACGACATTGGTGTGGTTCACCTTGACCTTGATACTCTCAGTTTTCGTACCAAACATAGGAATGGTCATAGAGATCATAGGGGCCTTTGCTGGAACTTTTATTTTTATATTTCCAGGTAAATTACATCGTGATTCATTTAGTTAAAGAAATATCTGACAAATGACCTACATAACAGTGTATTTTGTTTAACATTACCAGGTCTGTGTTTGTTGAAGACGGTGCAGGATCGACTAGAATCAGGCGAGAAACAGGCTAAAGTAATCCACGTTTTAAGAGGGGTCGCCATAATTTTTATTGCTGTTGGTGTATTTATATTTGGGCTCACCTTGTCGAAGGCCATAATGAAGGACATTAAGGGTGTCAAGCCAGACTCGTCCAAGTTCACGTGTAATTAAACATACGAAATAGTTTTTTCTTGATCCGATGTTAATAAAGAGGACATGAGTTCTAAACTTTAGATACAAGATGTAATTCTAAAATTAAAAGCAGACCAGGCAACTAGTATTTTAAAAACACGAATCTCTAAAGCGAAAGAATTTTAAACGAAAAACGAACTGTTGAAAATGCAAAACACATCAACGATCTGAATATTGCTTAAACTAACATAATATAATATTCATGAAACAAAAAACGCTACAAAACGCAATATAAACAGTCATAAACAAAACACTAGTCACAAAGAGAAAAAAAAATAATATATCAAACTAAAAACACAGCGCAAAACACAATGCACAACAAAATATAACACCGACAACCAAAATAATAACAGAAACAAAACAAAACACATTATGTAAAAATACACTAAACAAATGCGAAGAAAAATAAATAACACAAAAACACATAACGACATGATTACATTAACATCCAATAATTGAACATAAAAAGTAATTCGATTATTATAATATTACAAACTCCAAACCAAAGTTATATGCATTTGTTTCTTGTTTTTTTTCTTTTTCATCTTCTTTTTTTTCTTTACGTACATGCCATTCTAAGGGTCCTAGTTCAATTGTTTGGTTTTCGACTACATTAAATTAATGCTTGTGATGTTACTGTTACTACATCAATAAAGTAAAATGTAAAGATTCTCTTTTAGGTATAGCGATCCATTGGGCAGATGAAGAAGATTTCATCTTTTTTTTTTACATCGGAATATGAAGGGATAGTGGTCAGCACTATCCCCAACCGCCTTTACTTTCCCTAACGCGATCTGTAGCATTTTATATTAAAATATGTGCTAACACACCACTTGGTGACTTAGATATCATCTATTAAAAACGAAAAAAAAAAACCGAAAAAAAATGGTCTAGAGAATTTTCAGGTTTAAATAGAATTTTTACTTTCTCGTATACGAAGTAGCCTATAGAGGAATTATTGTTATCGTGCAAAAAAAAAGAGAAAGAGATTTACGCAAATCTTGACGTTTTACACCTCACTGAGTTTTGCAATTTTGGTCCGTATGTCTGTGTGTGTATGTCTGTGAAAACGATAACTTGAGTACCGTTGTCGTAATGGACAATGTTATTTTTAATTTTAAAAATGTGTTAATGCATAGTGGAAAATCACAACACACGCGATTGGTTCTAATTAATTATTATTAGTTTGACGTTAGTTTTTATAATTTATTCATTTATCATTTAAATGAGGTTCGAGCTCAGAAAATATTATAGAAAAAAACTCGGTGTTTTTAAAAGACTAAAACATGTAATCGGAGGCATGACTTCTCTTAAGTTGTGAATGATAACGTTGCATTACTGGACTTGACGGGACACTAGGCAGGTGAAGTAGAGATTACCTGTTTCTGTGACCTCAGCATATGAAAGGATAGTGTGGTCAGAACCATGCTCAGCTGAAGTCTGTATTTTTAAAAGAGAATAATATGTTGTCTGAGGTGTGATGTCTTTTTGAATGTAGGGTCTGGCTTTTTGTGAATATGAGTGACAGTGGGAAGGGAAGGGGAAAGATAAAAATCGTCAGACAAACGTGACGTCATTTAATATGACCACCAAAACACACGGTTATTCAAGAATATCGGGTAGTCTAGTAAAATACTAATATTACGTAATAGTATACACACATTGTTTGGTGTTCACTTTGTGCACAATTCTTTATTTTACGAGATTCTCTTTTATTTAAAAAAGTTTAAGTAATTAAATATTGATTAAAAATCATGTGTTTATCCCGAGTTGCCATCCCCCGTAGTATTATATAGGCCTAAGTATATTCGAGAAAGTTTAGTGGCGATCACTCCCGCTTTATTTAAAATGCTAAGTTAAAATGTGACCTGTTTTTACAAAGTCCGCCAACAATAGTTTTTCCAACGTAAATTGTCGAACACAAATATGTTGGAAAACACGGTTTAGATCCGGCGTTGGCCTACTTATAAAGGAAAATTGCGAATCTATCCTTCCATATAGTACAGATATGCGACTAGTAGTTTCTATTTATATCCTGGTGTTTTCCCACGGGAATGACGTCACGTTAAAACGAGTCTAGGGATACCTAGCATACACAATGTGTTGTCTAATAAACACATCCGGCTGCATGTCTAACAAAAGTTCACCGTTGTGATGTCTGAGTCGCAGCTGACCGATCCTTGGCTAGAGTATCCCTAACAGGATGTCGGAACTCAACGGTGTATATAAACATGGTGGTAGATATGGACATCAACCAACCTCAGCAAACGCGACGGAAACCGACTAAAGTGAGGCTTCTTTCCACTGAACATTTGTTGTATTGTGATTTACTTTGTCAGAGTTTACTGTAAGTTTAAGTTTAGTATAGATCTAGTTAGAGATTAGTTATGTAAATTGCTAAAACCGTTTAACACACACACACACACACACTATATATATATATATATATATATATATATATAGGCCTATTTACTTTTTTTAAAACACTGTCATGTCAATTTTACATTTGAATTTGTATTACTCAGTGCTTCAATAAATGCACATTCTGAATTTAGCATTAGCTATTAAAACAAAAATAATCCGTTGAATTCTCGTTTCCTTGTTATTATCCTTGTTAGCTCTATTATTACTTTTTTACTAAATACATCATGTTTTTTGAGTAGGGTTTGTAAGTATTAAACACAGATAATTAAGTATTTTTTTTGCTTTTCATTTCTATAAAATTTTGACTTAAGACCTTGTTTTTACTTGTAGAAAGATGGCGATGAATCTGCTTAAATCAACACCTCTACTGGGTTTACTCATCGTCGTCCTTTGTAAGTTCCATTTAATCTCATAACAATAACAAACCTGAGAAATTTTATTATTAAAATCATGTTTTATTGACAATATTTATTGCGTATAACAACACGTTGTTGTATTCACATTCATGTTGTAGATTGTATGTATTGTTACATCTTCTTGCAGGTACGAGTTGTTTCAGCTCACCTATAGCTACAGAAACATCCACCCCAAGTGACCCTTTGATAACTGAAACATCCACTGAAAGTGGCAATATAACAACAGAAACGTCCACCCCAAGTGACCCTTTGATAACTGAAACATCCACTGAAAGTGGCAATATAACAACAGTAACATCCACCCAAAGTGAGCCTGTGACAACTACAACTGCCCAACCGACATCTGTGAAAACCACCACTACTCTTAGCTTAAGATTACGTAAGTATTTATCCTACATAATTCGATGTACAAATAATTAATTTTTGAACCACCGAATGTTTATAAATTAAAAAACATAAAATGAAATTTCTCGTAAGCTAATTTACTAATATTAAATATCTAGATATTAACCGTTATTTTCTAGTTTGAATAAACACCTATTTCACTTGTTTAACTCTTAGAAAAAATTCTTCAAAAAATTATCCACCACTTCAACGAGTATTAATGATCTTTCTAAAAACTATGTGGTTTTCTCCATGTAGAGTTAGACAGGATGAGATGGAATAGCATATGGAATGCTATGTGCGCCACCCAGCCTTGTCCTCTATACGACTGGCCCTTGTGTGCTTCTGATGGTAAAACATACATGCATGAATGCTATTTAAACCGGGCTAACTGCTACAGAGGACCAGAGGATAAAATTCGCAAAGTACATGATGGTGTCTGCCGAAATTAATAGACATTTTAGTTTAAACATTGATGTACATGCTTTTATTAAAACAGTAATATAAATTTTACAAAATGTAGGTATTTGTAAGTCTATATTAGATACAAAAATAACTTTCAATTTATTTTTTAAATATTCAAACCGAATTACTACAAAAACATACTTTTTACACATTTAAATTTATCGAAATTTGAAAAGTGTTCATGTAGTCTCTTTAGTTTAGGGAAGCCGCCATGTTTGATTTCATTTAAAGCATATTCAATGCTTATATTTTATTGGGATTCGTATATTGAGATTATGTTTATTACCACACAATATATGTAGTTTACTTTTTGTGGGTAGTCAAGTGTTAATTAAACATAATCAGTCAATTGCAAGTAGGCCTATTCCCTTTTATTTTTCAGCATATCTGTGATGTTTTACATTTTTAAAAAAATTCATTGAATAAAATCTGATTGCTTGTAAAGTATAAAAGTAATTATTATTGTAATAATATAATCTTGTTTTTGTGATTTACAAATTGTGATGTTTAAATAATAATAATGTATATAACGTATTAAAATTCCACACAAACTAAAACAAAAGCCTTTTATTTGTCTGTCATGTAGAGTTTTAGAAATTTTGGTAAATATTCTATTGTTTTTTACAAGACACCTAACGTTTGTGTTTTGTAACACTAAAATGAAACCTAAACATACAGGAACAAGTCCGTACATTACCATATAGATCTACCAGAGTTCGCCAGCCTTTTGAGACGGAAATGCCAAAAGTTAAAATTTACAAAATTTACCAGTTTTTTTTAAAGAGCCACTAAAAATTTTTTTTCAACATTTTGTTAGTTGATTAGGATTAGGTATATAAAATTGATTTTTGTTTTGAAATAAATAGATTTAAAATGAAGTAATTTGTATTCATAAAAGAACATACAAATGTTTGTCACAAAACGTATTAAATTATTTAAGCTTACTCTGTTATGATAAAATTAGTAATTAAATAATATATAATCGGACAATCCCATTCCACTGTAAAAGATTATAAATTTCTTTTTTTTTCACGGACATCACAATCTCCCATTAGCAAGACATGCCTCAACACTATAAACTCCGACTAGCTGGATAGAATATTGGTTTGATTACCGTATCGGTCACTCCTGTCCGTCGGTTCTTAAAGTGCTTATCTTCCACCCCACAGAGCCCAGGGTAAACTCGTACCCCACCGTCCAGTCTACATTTTCCGGGTTGAGAGGGGGGGGGGGGGGGGGCGGACACTAGTAAAAATATATGTTTACTATATAAATTCAATCTCATTTGGGACGGGTGGAAGGGGGGAGGGCGGGAGACTTTCTTGGGGGGGGGGCGCTTAGCCAGATTAAATAGAATACATATTTAAACCAGTGTCCGCCCCTTCCCCCTCCCGCCAGCAACTTACTTTAAGTCACCCCCTTCCTCGTAAGTTTCAACCCCCTCTCCACCCCTCACGGTAAAAAAAAATCTCTAAAAAAACGGTCGTTGTAAAATGTGATCTAGAACTCAAAAAAAAAAAAAAAAAAAAAAATTCTATATATTATATAATTCTCTTCTGGGAGACGCCAGAAAACAAGCTGTAAAAGCGCTCCCTACCACCCCCACCCCTACATGGTCTGGTGAGTTTAGTTCACTTGAAATGTTTACAAGCAGAGCCGGGTTTAGTGACGACTATTAGGGGCAGATAATTTAGTTTGAAACGATTTTAAACGTAGGGGGGGGGGAATAACTAAGTGGAGTTTACTTTAACGGAGGAGGGGGGGGGGGGGGGAAGGAGGGGGGAGGGTTATCGTCCTTAACGAGCTACTTATAGTGTTTTAAAGAAATATTTTCAGTGGCAGCGTTGGTACTGTCGAATTCACAAATTATGAATTACTGAAAAGTAGAAAAAACAACAACTAATTAGCGGCGTATGATATGCCGCGGGCCGGCTCGTTAAAAATAAAACAACAACAATAAAACATAAAAAAAACCCAATAATAAATATGGATATTACTATTTTCTAATTTCATATTTAATAGTTTTTGCCATGATATTATTTGTCGTTAGCAAGAACTTTTGTTTTAAGAACATTTATAAAAGAAATGACAAGTTCAATATTAATATTTAAACACTTGTTTTGTATTTAACCTATTGACGTATACAACGCTTTTTAAATTAAAAACACCTATGCTAGTGGAGGTCGCTTGTAAAATATTCTGTCAACACATCAGAGTGCACGGAAATATATTTCATGGCTGAAGAAAGTCCACATTTAATTTGCACGTGAATGTATTTTAGAATAGAAAAAAAATGGAATTTAAATTTTTTCTATCACTATAAAGAGTACCCTTTAAAAACTTAAATTCCATAGGACAGATGAAGTAGAGTTCACCTGTTTTAGTGACCTCGGCATATGAAGAGATAATGTGGTCAGCACCATGTCCAGACGCCTTTACTTTCCCTAATGTGAGTTACGTGACCGTCTGCGCTAGTTGGACTCAGGGACGTGCTACGGATATGCATTTGAAATTCTCTACAGTGGTACCTCGCGGTATGACCTTCACTATTTCCATAACATTAGAAGTATGTATCTCAGAGCAATTGTATCAAATAAAAACAATTAAAATGCCATTAAATTGTTTTAGTCCCTAAATACGACACCAATTGTTTTTTAATTGAAAAGTTATGTATGAGTGATTAATTTTGTAAACAAATAAAAACGAATTTTAAGAAATGCCTGAAGGAAACTTTGGACACAACTAACTTGCAATTAAAAGTTACAGTGTGATATCGCCACACCTAGACATTTCTTCCTTATCCTAACAAATCCTGGCAAATTGAGTAAATATAAACTATTTTTTTTTATTGTTTAAAAGAGTTTATTGTTCGGATAGTAACGAAAACATCCTGGTGTCTCGTGTCTGGTAGACGATATTTCGGTGAAGTGACCAAACCTGTGGGAAACTAAAGGTAATCTTTGGGTCAAAATGTCTCAGTATGAATAAATAGTATAGTGCACCCAGATACAAGGCATACATTAACAAGCTCAAGCTAGACGCAATAACTGTCTGACTTTTCTAAACAAGGTAGGCAATATAGGCAATAAGCATATGTTATATCTTAAATAAATAAATAAATAAATAAGTATATATATATATATATATATATATATATATATATATATATATATATATATATATATATATATATATATATATATGCCTATAATGTATACATATATATATATATATTCTTTATATATATACTTTACATATATATATATTCTTTATATATATATATATATATATATATATATATATATATATATATATGTGCCTATAATGTATATATATATAGAGAGAGAATTTATATATATACTTTACATATATATATATATATTCTTTATATATATATATATATATATATATATATATATATGTGCCTATAATGTATATATATATATATATATAGAATTTATATATATACTTTACATATATATATATATATATTCTTTATATATATATATATATATATATATATATATATATATATATATATATATATATATATATATATATATATATGTTTTCAGTTTCAAGCACGATTCTAGATTTGTACAGTTTGTTAGTTGGCTTTTATACTCGGTATTATATTCATGCAAGAAAACGCTTGCTTACAATAATATGTTGACCCGAAGATCGACAGCACTCCAAATGCCAAATTCTTCACCTTACTATAGCCTTCTGCAAGACTATTCCATGCGTCACATAGTAGGGCCTCAACTCTCGGCATTTCTTTTAGAACTTTCCAGTTGTACAGTGAAACGTGCATGTTTTACTGGACCTCCAAAATCATCTAACTTGCTCTTGAGGTCTGTGAACTCACCGCTCAACAAATGTAGACGATTGGAAAGCTGGTTTGTATAGGGCTACGTTAAATGAGGTGTCCTGTTCTGACGTTATCAAGCATTTGTACATCAGGAATCCTAACAGTAAACCCAGCTGTGTACTTTTGACGAACATTGCTTGCCCTAAAAAATGTAGCTCAATATACCCTAACTTGTAGCAAGAGATGTTGAAAAGAAAAATCAGATTTACTAGCTCCGCTTATTCGCCTCGTCATTTTATATCCCTTGCTATGTGTTTTAGTTACGGAGATAAAATTTCTACATTCTGATTGGGTTGTCAGCGCCAATAATAGACCTATAAAATCGGTTCCCAGAAAGAAGCGCAACGGAAAAAAAGCGCAACGGAAAAAATTGCAAAACAAAAAGCGCAACGGAAAAAACGCACACGGAAAAAAGCGCAAAGGGAAAAAAGCGCACACAGAAAAAAGCGCAAACAGAAAAAAGCGCAAACGAAAAAAGCGCAAACGGAAAAAGCGCAAACAGAAAAAAGCGCACACAGAAAAAAGCGCAAACAGAAAAAAGCGCAAGCGGAAAAAGGAGCAAACAGAAAAAAGCGCAAACAGAAAAAAGCGCACACAGAAAAAAGCATAAAAGCACCAAAATAATAATTATGTATTTAATATTATTTCACATTATGACGCACCTTCCTACCTACCTACTACCCACCTACCCCCCTACACACTTACCCACCTACCCACCTACACACCCACCTACCTACCTACCTACACACCTACCCGTCTACCCGTCTACCCACTTACCCACCTACCCATCAAAAAAGTATCGGCGAAGATCGTTAGTTTTTTAAACTATACTAGACATCTTTTTTTTTTAACGAAAATTCATTAACATCATTGATATATGTTACATTTTTTGACAACCTTAACTAGTGCGTTGGGCTTGTGTTAAAACTCACTTCGAACTAACTCAATTACATTCTATTTATTTTAACATTACACGGTAAGCGTCACCCAACTGTTGTGATGTGAGGTGAGGACAGGTTAGACAATAAACCAACACTAAAGTACGAAAGTACATAGACTGCCTATTAGAGAATGGGCCCCCTAACTTTCCTAACCCCACCATTTATTTTACCCTACCTAACCTATAAATTTCCTGCTATATATGTCACTTTTTTCCCAATCGTTCCTATTCTACAGATTTGTGTGTACTATTTATTTACATTCTTTAATCTCAATATAACTAAAATAGACTATTGCTTGAAGGGTAATGAAACATGTAAACAAAAGGGAAGCTACTCTAAATCTATGCGAATACTTATATGTAACAATCCTAACCCCAACCAAAACATGTACTGAATAGCATAATAGGCTGCATGTAGCCAGAGTTTCTTCCAGGCATCTCTTTTACCGCCCCCCCCCCCCCTCCGAAAGAAATGGAAATTATAAAGTAAACATACACTTTTACTAGTGTCCGCCCCCCCCCCCCCCCTCGAAAAATGTTGACCGCCCCCCCCCCCCCCCACCCGCCGGAGAAAAAAGTCTAGAAGAAACAACTCATGTAGCCTAGATAACAGAAGAGATATGGTTGTTTATATAGTTTTCAATTCGTCCGGTAAACATTTCAGTAAAAAACCTCAAAAAATCTTCCATAACCTTTTTATTAAGAAACAAAGAGAGATTAAGTTTTATAATAACATCAGGCTTTGACTTACACCTAGTCCAATGGCATCTACATTGTTAAACTGATTAACTATGTAATATAGGGCTCAACAGGATCAATGAACTAACCTTACGCCAAACCAGTTTGAAATTTCGAGTTTTGTAACACTGTTACTAAGCTAGCAAAATGGAAATGTGCATAATCTAAATCATCTACACAAACACCCAACCACCTACCTAACTACCCACTCACACATCTACCCACATACCCACCTAACAACCTACCCACCCACTTACCCACCTACCCATATATATATATATATATATATATATATATATATATATATACATATATATATATATATATATATATATATATATATATATATATATATATATATATATAGGTAGGTAGGTAGGCAGGTAGGTAGGCAGGCAGGTAGGTAGGTAGGTAGCTAGGCAGGTAGGTAGGTAGGTAGCTAGGCAGGTAGGTAGGCAGGTAGGGTAGGTAGGTAGATAGGTAGGTAGGTAGGTAGGTAGGTAGGTAGGTAGGTAGGTAGGTAGGTAGGTAGGTAGGTAGGTAGGTAGGTAGGTAGGTAGGTAGGTAGGTAGGTAGGTAGGTAGGTAGGTAGGTAGGTAGGTAGGTAGGTAGGTAGGTAGGTAGGTAGGTAGGTAGGTAGGTAGGTAGGTAGGTAGGTAGGTAGGTAGGTAGGTAGGTAGGTAGGTAGGTAGGTAGGTAGGTAGGTAGGTAGGTAGGTAGGTAGGTAGGTAGGTAGGTAGGTAGGTAGGTAGGTAGGTAGGTAGGTAGGTAGGTAGGTAGGTTAGGAGGGAGGTAGGGAGGTAGAGCGAGAGGTGGGTAGGTAGGTTGGTAGACTAGGTAGGTGCGTCATAATTAAATATTAGTAAATACATCATTGTTATGATGTTTTTTTTATCAGGTATTTTGGTGCGAATGAATGTTGTTGCGAGAAATATGACGAATGCATGTTTGATGACGCGGATGAAAGAGAGTGAAGTTTTGCCATAGGAACGGGTTGTTATGGTATGCAAGCTAGGTATTTCGGACTAGGGAGAATGTGAGAAATACTTCGTGTAATGTCGATAGTTTTATGTTTATTTATACGAGAATAGAGTTGAATATATATTGACCAAGAAAATAATAGGCATTGCGTAAAGCGATTTGCGCCTGTATCGTGGTGATGAGAATGCACATGGTAGTGGTATGCTTTAAATGGTAGTAGAGCACGTGATCAAACTCGACACTCTCACAGCAGCCCTAACAGTCATGTATAAATGTGTCATCTAGTCGATTTAGGTCTTTGTGCTGAATTTCTCTATTGCACATTTTTCGTTGTGTTTTTTCTGGTTGCGCATTTTTCTGTTTGCGCTTTTTTCTGTTTGCGCTTTTTTTTCCCGTTTGCGCTTTTTGCTGTGTGCGTTTTTTTCTGTTTGCGTTTTTTCTGTGTGCGCTTTTTTCCGTTGCGCTTTTTGTTTTGCGCTTTTTTCCGTTGCGCTTTTTCCGTTGCGATTCTTTCTGGTCACCGATAAAATCATGTAGTCAATCATGTAGAAATAAGATAATAACAAATGTGTAGCTGTGGTGAGGTCGTACCGGTCCCCGAGAGTTATCGTTTGGATAGAAGAAAGTTTGACGAAATATATAAGAGGAGTTTCACCAATGCGTTACCAAATCTATATTCTTAGACGTGTGACCTTGTTTTCTGAAAGTGAGTTATTTATATGTAAAATCTGCATTTGAATCATATTTTCGCGTCCCGCAATTTCCCCACACCCACCTAAATCAATGGCTTAATATATCAATATAGGCAAGAAATTAACTTTAGAAATTAACTTTAAACAGCAGTGTTTGCGATCAGGATTTACTATAACTATAAGTTTCGCTGTCTGTCTATGTATCTATCTATCTGTCTGACGAGAACGCTATAGAGAAAACACAAGCTAATTAAAAACATGCATAGTGAAACGGAAGCGAAACATGACGTCACATTGAGGATATAGCAAAAAAATTGTCTCAAGCCGGGAAAGTGCATAGAATAATATGACGTCATTGATTCTAGAGTAAACATTGAATTAAACAGCCAGTTTTGTCTAATCTTAAAAGTGGTTTGTGTGCAGAGATTCTTTCATACAACTCTTCGAGCAGGGGCGAAGCCCATCCCCCGCGTAAGAACGTCTAAGCCGACCGCCACCCCTCCCCCCCCCCCCCTCCCTGTTATCGATTCTCTATAATAAAATTACAGCCTAATTCATGTGTCTAATGTAAAAAGTGGTTTGCTTGCAGAGTTTCGTTCTTGCATCTCTTCGGGTAGCGGCGAAGCCCATTTAACCCCCCCCCCCCTGGTAGATCGTCTAATCCCTCCCCTTAAAAGAGTTTCTTACATGCAATTCTTTGGGTAGTGGCTAAGCGCGACACCAGTGTTTCTTTCAGACTTTTTCCTCCCCAACGGGGGAACTTTTTCTAATCTAAATAGTGTTTAGCGTGCAGTTTTTTTTTCATGCATCTCTTCCGGTAGGGGCGAAGCCCCGCCCAGATTCTTCCTTTAGTTTGTATGATCTACAAATGCGACCAGTGTTTCTATCAGACTTTTTCCTCCCCGGAGAGGGGTGGGGTTACTTGAAATTTTCGGGGGCGGGGGTAGAATTTTCTGGGGGCGGACACTGGAAAAAGTATATAATTATATTTCGTTGAATGGGACGGTAGACATGTTTTGGGGGGTGGGGGGGGGGGGGCGAGCCCACTCCTCCCAAGTAGAGTTGCCTGAAAGAAACTCTAAATGCAACTTTTGTCATGAATGAGCTTAGGTGCATGGTTTAGGGATATGCCTATGACTATATTTTTTTTATAAATTAAAGTACCGAGAAAATAGACAGCACTATCAACCTAGCGCCCGTTGTATCCTTCCTCAACGGGCCATTTTTCTCGTAACTATTTAAAAAGCGGCCATCTGAACGTTAGAGTGGCTTCCCCTGAATCTTGCGCTATAATAAGTTTACAAAAATAAAATAAACAAGATGGCTGCTACAGTAAGTGAGCATGGTTGCATCTGTTGGAAACATCGCTAGTCTTCATTTATTACTGAAAACTTTTAATTCAATTGTTTAAAAACAGGTACATAAATGAAACAAGGAAACATTTTTGTATTTTTCAAAACATAAATCCTCCTCAAAATGTGAAATAATTATTAAAATTTAAGGAGTCAGCTGACTAGTGAGTTAAGTTACTAACAACTCTAGATCTAGATTCTAGATATCTAGATCTAGAATAATCTAGATTCTAAATTTAATATTTAATTAATAAAGTACTAACTAAAATAACGATAGATTACCGATTCTAGATCTAGTACTAGATCTAGATAATATAGTATTTAATAGTAATATAGTAATAACAAGATCTAGGAGATCTAGATTATTTAATAATTTATTAATTTATTTATCTACTAGACTAGATCTAGCAGAACTAGATCTAATCTAGATCTACATTCTTAAATGAGTGAAAAAGCAAAGATCTAGATCTAGATTTCTAGCTAGAATTAGATTCTAGAATCTATATTAATGATATTAAATATTATAGTCTAGGCCTACTAGATCTAGAATTCTATATAAATTCTATATCTATCTAGTCTAGAATAATCTAGATTCTACAAATTCTAGATATGGAAATCTAGGCCTAGGCACAGATTCTAGGTCTAGAATATACTAGATCTAGATCCAACTAAATAATAATCGATTTAAATATTAAATCAAAAATTAATAAATAATAATAATAAGGCAGATGCTAGATCTAGCCGGAAAAAGATATGCATACGCAATGGAGAGAAACTTCGACTTGCCTTCATATGGCGATGTTTTCGCTGGTAATGCGCATGCGTGTGTTTACAACTGCAGACCCCTATGCCCTAACCCTAGCCGTAGGTCACTGCGCATGCGCAGAGATATCTTTTGCTGACTGGGTGGAGACGTTGGAGTGAAAATCTTTTTCTGAGTTGTCACTTCGTAATAATAATATTTACGACTTTAAGAAGTGGTAATCTATGGTTTTAGGCACGTATAGGCCTAGTGTTAAAAAATAAGGTGACTCATTAAACTTTAGTAGGCCTAGGCCTAATGTTTTTAAATAGTATTGATGTATGTATGCAAAATACTTGATAAGGCACTTGGTTGTGCAACTACATTCTACCTAGTCTGTGGTTTAAATGGTTGACGTTTGTGTTTCAGTTTATGCTGTGGGCAACATGGAATACACAGGATACTGCACTGAACATGTCCCTGTTAAAATTGAATCAGATTCAAAGGTAAAATAACACTGCTGCTTTGAGATTATAACTGATTATAACCACAACCTGGTCTCTAATACTTGTACCTCTGGTGGGTCAAGTATAATAATAAAGGGGAATTAGTACAAAAATAGTATAAAGTAAAATGCAGGGCTGACAACCTGTACCGAATTTGTCCATACAATTTTTGTGTAGTTGGGTCTATGACAAATTCCTGAAAGACACTTGCGAGAAGGCCAATTTCAAGAATGGACATTTGCCTGAAAGCCATATTGCCCGAATGCCATTTGCCCGAAAAATGTTACTATTAGATAATATTAATAAATAATATTACCAAATAGACATTCTGAATCAAGTTTGAGATATTGATAATAAACACAAGGGAGTAAAAAATGACATTGGGTAATTAACATGTTGTTTACACACAATCACTTGATTAATTAAAATATGTCACAAATTACATTCCTTTTTTATTAGACTCAAATATCTTAATGGAGCAGTATGATAAACCAAGCCAATTTTTTTATCATTTGGAGATTTAATAACACTCACCCAATCTCCACCTAAACTTAATATCATATCCATTTAAACTTATGTCTACGAAGACAATAAAGGAATCCAACTTTAAGTATTGTAACACAAACCTAACTGAAATATTGAATCTAAGGAAATCTTTTAAGTTCTATTGATAGTGACAGAAAGTAGTGATATAAATAATAATTAGTAAGCAATATAGTTTTGTTCAGCTTTTAAATAAAAAATGAAAAGCAAAACCTGATTTATAATTAAAACAGCATTTTAAATTAAGAAAATAATTGTATTAATTTTATTACACCCTCAGTCCTACTTTGATTTCAGAATGATAAATAGATAAGTAGCCTATGTTATTTTATATTATTTTCTTTCTTTGTCACTAATATCGTTAAATGTTAAATAACTACTTTACAATTTTTTTTTTCTCAAATGAGTATAACATTTAAAATATATAGGCCTTTAATGCAATTGTATCGTGTACCGATGGCTAGTATAATAAAACGGCTGATAAAAATTTGTTTCAGGGGGTGAAGTAGGGCCCTTTTTTCTTCTTGTTTTGCCACTGATAATCATTCAAGTGTATATGGTATATTATGTTTTCAGAGGTTTATTAGCTTTTAGACTTGTGTCTATAGTTGCAATTTTTAAAAATTGACCATCCATGTATAATAAAATACTGTGATTTGGTTAGTAGTGCCACACCACACTATCTGTTATAATGAATGTTTTTGTTACAGTTAACTAGTATAGTTTAGTATTCTGAAATTTTCAGATGTACCATGGTGACAACTATACCAGAGACCCAAGTATTCAGGTACAGAGGATTGGTGTTATGAATAACGACTGTGGTAAATAAAGTTTACTTATTTATTTTTATTGAATTGACTGTTTTTCAGTACATACATGTCTGATATCTAATAATACTAATATCTTTAAAAATCTATTTGTTCTACCACATGACAATAACTTTAACAATTTATGCTAAACTTTATCAGGCAATACAAAATAATAGCGAAGCAAAGTTCTATTAAATATTATTCTCTGCCATACTGTTAATTAGCTCTACTTGGTATAGCTTTTAAACAGCAAATTTAAAAAGTTAACCTTTTGGAGCTGGCGATCCATGGGGCAGATGAAGTGGAGTTTACCTGTTTGCGCAAAAAAAGGATTAAGTGTTCAGCAATATGCCCATTCACTTTTACTTTCCTTACTGTCAGTTAGGTACCCATCCGAGCTGAACATCCTACCGACCCCACTTTACACTTTGGTTAGCAGTCATACACTCTATAATTTGGCCACACCATGTCTGTTCCTCTAATATTGTCATATATATTTATGAAAATATTTTCAGATATCTATCAATGTCAGCACTGCAGATTGGATTTTTCAACACTCTCCCATTATAATTTGCATTTGAAATACAAACATGAAGGGGAAAACCTTGACAATAAGAATCTAGATTTCACAGTTGACACTAGCGAACATTCTAATCAGTTATCTAATTTTTGTCAGCTCCATGGAATTCATAAAGGGAAAAAGCATTGTAAGTGTGACAATTGTGGTAAATATTTTACAAGACTCGAATATTTAAAAGTACACCTTTTAATTCATATAGGAGAAAAGCCTTACAAATGTGGCCAATGTTTGAAATTTTTTAGAACTCTCAGTCAAATATATAAACATTTAAAAATTCATACAGGAGAAAAGCTTTACAAGTGTGACCAATGTGGTAAATGTTTTCCAACTCTTAATCAAATACAGAGGCACGTTATAGTTCATACAGGAGAGAAGCCTTACAAATGTAGCATATGTTGTAAATATTTTACTCAGATTAGTAGCTTGAATGCTCATCATAGAATTCATACAGGAGAGAAGCTTTACACATGTAGCATATGTTGTAAATTTTTTATCAATTTGAGTAACTTAAAGAAACACCATTTAGTTCACACAGGAGAGAAGCCGTACCAGTGTGACGAATGTGGTAAATGTTTTACCCATTCGCGTAGCTTAAAGCAACACCATTTAATTCATACAGGAGAGAAGCCGTACAAGTGTGACGAATGTGGTAAATGTTTTACCCAATTGTGTAGATTAAAGCAACACCATTTAATTCATACAGGAGAGAAGCCGTACCAGTGCAACCTATGTGGTAAATGTTTTACCCATCCGTTAAGCTTAAAGAAACACCATTTAATTCATACAGGAGAGAAGCCGTACAAGTGTGACCAATGTGGTAAATGTTTTACCCAATTATTTACCTTAAAGAACCACCATTTAACTCATACAGGAGAGAAGCCGTACAATTGTGACCAATGTGGTAAATGTTTTGCCCAGATTGGTTACTTAAAGAAACACCATTTAACTCATACAGGAGAGAAGCCGTATAAGTATAAGTGTGACCAATGTGGTAAATGTTTTGCAACTCTTTATCAGGTACAAGTGCATGTTATTATTCATACAGGAGAGAAGCCTTTCAAATGTAGCATATGTTGTAAATATTTTACTCAGATTAGTAGCTTGAATGCTCATCATAGAATTCATACAGGAGAGAAGCCTTACACATGTAGCATATGTGGTAAATGTTTTATCAGTTTGCATAGCTTAAAACAACACCTAAAAACTCATACAGAAGCAAAGCGATACAAGTGTGACCAATGTGGTAAATGTTATACCCATTCGTCTAGCTTAAAGCTACACCATTCAATTCATACAAGAGAGGAGCAGTACAAGTGTGACGAATGTGGTAAATGTTTTACCCATTTGCGTAGCTTAAAGCAACACCATTTAATTCATACAGGAGAGAAGCCGTACCAGTGCGACCAATGTGGTAAATGTTTTACCAGTTCGTCAAACTTAAATCAACACCATTTAATTCATTCAGGAGAGAAGCCGTACAAGTGTGACCAATGTGGTAAATGTTTTACCTATTCGTTTAGCTTAAAGCGACACCATGTAATTCATACACGAGAGAAGCCGTATAAGTGTGACCAATGTGGTAAATGTTTTACCTATTTTGGTAATGTTAATACACATCTTAGAATTCATCAGGGAGAGAAACCTTACAAGTTTTAAGTAATTGGTAAATGTATTACATATTCCTCACATTTCATTGAACATAATTTAAAAACCTCTACTGAAATAAATCCAGAATGACCAGACACTTATCTTTTTACTTTCTTGTGTACAGAGTTCAGAGCAGTGGTGTGTATGGTGTGTTTGAGTCTGTGGTGTGGTGGGTGGTGTGTTGTTTGTGTGTTTTAGTAAACAATAACATCCATAAACAAGGTAATTAAAAAGTCTAGTGACAATTTTAGCGCAATTTCCTTATGTTATCTAAAAATAGCTCTGTCGTAGCGTAAATCAAGAGCAGGGTTAGTAAAACCATTAATTAGTTATTAAAACGTTTTTTATTAAAAAATTTTCAGTATTTTACATGTTTTATTTACAATAGAGTTACATGACTAGAAACCATTGCGCGCCTAGCTACCGAACGTGATGGCGCAGCCATTGAACGTGATGGCACAGCTATTGAACGTGATGACGCGTGTGGTGTGGTTGGATAAACATGCCTACTTATTCGGTCCAAATTTTAATTAATTCAAAATTTTTTTGTGACGGAACGAAAGGATATTTTTGAAAACTTTCTTCGGCAATATTGTTCTAAATTATGGCAGGAATCGATTGGTAAATGTTTCAAGTCGCTAAGTGGTCTGGTTGCCGAGATATGGGCCAAAAAACTGCATTTTTTTCGAGGTTTTTTGGCTTTTCCGGGAAATCCATGAAAGAAACCCGGAATTTTTTTGGCTTATGTTCATCCTGGTAACTTAACATAATTGCTTTTGGAACTAGTCATCGATATTGCTTCGTTGAGGAGGAGATACGACTTAAAGCCCGGACACACATTCCCAGAAAAGACGAGTTAATAAACGCAATTCTCCAGGATGGAAATTGCGCTAAAAAAACATCACGTCTGTCACTTATCGTCACTAAAACCAGACCCGACATTTAAAAAGATGTTTTTTATCTTTTGAAAACACCGATTTCGGACTATCGCATTTATATACTGACGTCACACGTGACCTACTCAACTCTACTTCACCTTCCCAGTGTCCCGCCAAGTCTCAGACAACATGTTTTATCGTTTAAAAAAACGATTCCAGCCGAGCTTGTCTCTCACCACACTATCCCTTCATATGCTTAGGACAAATAAACAGATTAACTCTACTATACCTGATCTGTACCCCGTCAAGCTCTGATAGGCAACTTTATCATTCATATCTAAAAAATGAAAAAAAAAATTATCATTGATGTATTGGTCTAGAACCCATGCCACCCGCATGCAGGCCATTTACACTAACAACTTAGCTATTTAACTCGTGACGTCACAGATGTTTTATACTATACTTTAATACTTTGAGTCTCCTTATGCAACTTGATTTACGCGCATAGATCTTAGTCTAGTAGTAGTAACTTTCAAATTAAATTTTATCTTAAATTAGCGAAACAAAGATTTATATAAAATAATTAAGGTTTGAAATTATCTAGATCTAGATAGAATTATCTAGATATAGATTCAACGACTCGTTTAGCATGTTTATAATACGTGAAAACCCGCCATTTTACTAGTGGTAAACAGCCTAAAAATAGTCGGAAGTAATGCGTCCGGTTCGGACGCCATTGTTGTTAGCAATTGTTGTTAGCAACCGACTACGCCTCCAATAAAGCGAGAAATCCTACTATATCTAGCTCTAGAACCTAGATAGATAAATCCGATGTATTCTCGAATTAGATGTTCATTAAAGCTAAACAAAGATTTATTTAAAATAAGGCCTGAAATAGATTTTTGATGTAGAATTTACATTAAGTCTAGATCTAGAATTTACGTAAAGTCTAGTGACCTAGATCTAGATCTAAAATCTAGATTTCATAACATGTTCTTCCTTCGCCAGCTGATCTGTAGATCTAGAGAAATTTATCGTAAAACTAAATGAAAAAGACAGTTGAAAATTGATTTTTAAGTGTTAAAACGTAATAAATACAGCAAACGGACATATTGTTAAAGTTATAGCCGACAGAAAATTAGCTTTAGAACGCGTTAAACTTTGGAATGGGAACACAATCTTCTTTGATAAACGCCGCCATTTTATTGTACCAAAAAGTAAACCAAAAAAATGTGACGTCACTGTTTCGTCAAGTCTAGTCGTTTTTCTAATCTTTTAAAATTAATGTGGTTAATATACCTATGAATAAATCAATAAATTAATCAACGTCTTGAAATAAATTTGTGATTAACAGTCTGTCTGAAAACAAAAATTGTTCTCTACCTACATACTATTTTACAGCTCTCCACATAGAGTAGAACCATTTACAATAGTCAATCATACAAACAAAAAAAAAAAACAAATAAATATTCAAACATGTAAACAAACTTGAGTTTTAGTAGTATATAGATAGATGCGCAGGTTTTAGCCAACTTTTGAACAATTTCTGGTTATTGGAAGTGTTATTTTGTTTCTGTATAAACACAATAACTTGAGAACGGTTTCAGTTATGTAAACGAAATTTCATGTTTAACCATTAATGTCCCGTAACGCCCGCTGCCGCCCGACACCGTTAATGTCCCGTAACGCCCGCTGCCGCCCGCTTACAATACGCATAGAAAAATTAAATTTGTTTCATTAAAATTTGGCCTACAAATCCTAATTTTTAACTAAACAGGAAGTCGGATTGTTTCAGCATCCTTTTCCGGTTCTTCTAATTTCAATGGCGCTTTTGAAAGATAAAAAATAATACTTTCTTTCTATCTCGAAATTTTAGACTCATCGGTCCTATTTTTAGTAGATTTAATATTAAAAATAAAATAAATTAATGCCTCTAAACGTATCTAGGCATGTATTTTATGAATTATATATCTTAAACATAACCAAATTGATATTTAACTGTTAAATTCGATGCATAGTTGTTTAGACAAAAATAAATAAAGTTGACTACCGAAAATGACCTGTTTTGAATTTTCTCCGACATTTTTTATTTTTATACTGTACTTGTACCGAATATAATATATTCTATTTAATACCGTTGGAAAGCCAGGTTTATTCCCAACATTAATCAGTACTTTTTATCTTAATTTTCAATTTCATTTAGACAAAAACAAATATTTTGTGAAACTATTCACTTGATCATACAGAGTTATGCTCCTTACATTGGGCCGTCATGGGTGGAGTTTTGGTAGAATGAATGGGACATTAATGGTTAAGATCTTATACTTGGCTCCCTTTCAATTTTTGAGTGACTTAAGATATCTGGAAGTGGTATTTCACTCTATTTATGGTTTCTGAAAATGTTAAAATACTAGTTTGTAGATGGGAAGTGAGGAGCCGGCTGTGCACACGAGGCAAAAGACAGTACGGTGAAGGATGACTCTAACTGTAATGAGAAACATAGCGCAGAGCCAGGTGATACACCGAGTATCAGAGAACCTGATCGAGTCAGTCAGCGAAAAAATCAAACATGACGAAGCTGCCTAATAATAACAGGGTGTCAACGGCAACAAATACAAGCTCCATAAAGAAAATAAATAACTATAAAGAAAAGTGCTGGTCACCAGATTTTGATTTGCACCCCCCCCCCCCTCAAGATTTCGATTTGCACCCATTTTGGCGCCCCCTAAGGTCGGCGCCCGGGGACATATGTCTCTCCCCCCCTCGCTACGCTACTGCTGGTCACTTTATTATCTATTTGGTACCTGTATTAATATTTACCACTCGTAATACGAGACCTACGCTTTTCTTTATATTTATAGTTATTTAAATAGTAGTGTATTACTATATATTTTAAGAAACTCATTTTTTTAGTTTTTAGTGCATTAGTATATAAAAGCTTATTTAAACGATCTTTATTATTTTTTCCCTACTTCAAATTTTTTCATGGAATAGAGTTGCATTACTAAAAAGCATTGAGCACCTACACGATAAAGCATGAATAATACCTCCAAAAGAAGTAAAATGTATTTTCCAAATAACAAAAAGTTCAGTTCATTGGTTTAACTTCACAATTTTTACTGATCAGGATTGCGCGGATAGAGAGTCTAGTGTCTAGGCCTATCAATTATTTTGGTATTATCTTTTTGCGCCGTCCACACCTCACTGTGATGATGCTAGACGCTAATCGTTTTAAAAGTGTGGGCTACAGCTATTGTAATGGAAGCACATTATCGGAGAGGGGTGGGGGCTTAATGAATAGGGGAACGTTTCCCACTGCATTTCATAGACTCAGTGTTTCTTCCAGACTTTTTTTTTCTCCTGGGGGGGGGGGGGCGGACACTAGTAAAAGTATATGTTCACTATATAAATTCCATCTCGTTCGGGGGTGGGGGGCGGTAGATTTTCTTCGGAGGGCGCCAACCCCCGAAGAGATGCCTGAAAGAAACTCTGCATAGACTGCTGTTCGTTAAAATAAGATAAATGAGTTCGTCGGTATTATAGAGTATCGCCTTGACCCATCGAGCGTTTCTAGTTTATGCGTGTTTTTTTTGGGGGGGGGGGGGGGGGCAGTCTATGTAATGCTATTCTAAAAGCAGAAATGACTGAAGGGCATATCTACTGATTTTGCCGAATATTCTTCCAGAGAAGTCTGGAAAAATTCGAGAATTTCACTTACAAATAAACCGGGCGTAACTTCCCCTAATCTTTCTCGAATATTCTTATAGGCTAGTATTTAATATAGAAATTATTATTGGAATAGATTCTAGAGTAGATAGAAGAGTATAAATCCAGATCTAGGTCTTAGCGTCTAGGTCTAGTCTAGTTTTGTGCGTAGATTATCTAGTCTAGATCTAGAATCTCTAAATCTAGATCTCGAAATCTAGAATTTAAATAGATAAAGTAAATTTTATAAGTTTAGGTCGAGAAAAATGTATTGTATAGATCTAAATTTCATAGCGTACGTAGATCTATCATATTTGAATGAAATAGTTCATTTCTTTATTTTATTCTAAACTCGGAAGATGACGTCATTAGTTTCGTGTTCTTTCCCTAGTGAAAACATTAAGCGACGTTATTATTAAATGCGTTCTTGTCCCAAGTATAAACACTTTTCCGGTTGCCTAATTAAAATCGTTTTTCTGCATTCGAATACGCCTTTATTTTTTATGTTTCTTCTTAAAATAAAATTGTGAT